AAAAAAAAAAAAAAAAGAAGAAAGAAAGAGAGAAGGCGTGAAGGTGACGGTACGAATGGGTAGGTGACGAGTGGATCGGGGAGATCTCCTTCAACCCAGCGCCCCGAACCACTTATCTGGGGAACTGGGGTTATAGATCAAACTGTGGCGTTTCCGTTCCAGTATCGTGCGACAGGGGATTAGGGAAAGAACAAGGGAAAGGAAAAAGTCTTTAGAGCCCCGTGACACTCAGAAGTAAAATTATAATAATAATATTAATTAAAAATTAAAGCTAAAGGTAAAAGCGCGGCTAAAAGCTAAAGTACCAGCAAAAAAGAGAACATGGGATATGGGTCATGTCCAGCGGTTATCGTTATGGATAAGCCTTGAATATGTATGTTGTATGTATGTACGTACTCTATGATCAAAATTCCAGAGTTGTCCCGAGCCCTTGGGTTATGTTGATCTCATTTGACTATGCTCTACTGGTGACAGCTGGCAGTCCTCAACCTTGTGACTATCTTTAGGATAAGAAGGGAGCAGCTGTGACACTGCCCTTTGACCACCCTTTCGTGTTGCTATTCACTACTGGGGCCCAATACAGCATCCTGCTAGGGATCTAAGCGGAAGTGATGCTTTGTAGCACTAAGAAATGCTTCATACTCTAGGTGGAAAGGGCCCGCATGATGGGTGGAGGTGAACCGGGAGATTGAACACTGGATTGTGCTCGCTAGGTTAGCTACATAGCAACAGAGATTAATCAAGGCACCGATAAGACCCATGCATAACTGAACATCCATAATTGAGATGATCAGCAAGATCGGAAACTGAGTAGCGGTTCCCCGGTATGCGACTTAATCTGGGGGGGAGTTGATGGTACATACCACCGGTTAAAAGCCATACAGGCAGGCATTGTTTGGGCCATTTTCAGCCGGGATGTGTCAACCAAAAATGCCGACGTGTCAGAAGGATGGAAGTACAGCGAGAATTCGCAAGGGTAGGGTGACGACGACGGATAAACTTCAAATTAAATTCAACGGCCGGGAAAAATGGCCTTAGGCTAATGAAATCATCTGGCAAGCAAAAAAGAAAGCAAAAAATGTGGCTTGGGGAGTAATCCAGAACATGGACCCGGGGCAATTAATGTATCGAATGTGGCCGAAAACATGCCCGTGGCGAACACAATTGCATCAAGACGGCTCCAGCAGAAAGTCAGCAGGACTCTTGAAGTAATGCAGGACAATTTAATAGGTGGCACTTGGGGAAAATGGACTGAGACCAAACAAGCCGGTTTGGAAGCTTGCAGAAGTACTGTATGAAGGTACCTAAGGTATGGACTAGACCTGTATGTCAGTATACCGAGATTGAACATGGATAATGGCAGTAGCAGTCAGAGGGGGGGCTGCGTTCAATCATCATAGAATTCCTCCAGACATAAGTGGAGTGATATCAACAGCAACCAGTCTGCGCCAATCATTACGGCCCCGTTTTTGAGGAGTCAAGTGACCCGTGACCGATGAAGTGAACTGCAAAGGGAATCCATCGCCCTCTTAGTCAGCAGCGGCAGAGGTCACAGGACAGTCGATCTTTGTCTGAATGTTTGTCTAGAACCAATTGCTTCCTTTTTCCTCTTTGCAGCTCTCGGTCTATTTGTTATGGATCTGGATATTTTTAGGTCCTGATGCCCATTCACTGCCATTCAGTATCAATGTTCATTCAATTTCTATATCGAGGGAATGGTCAGCAAACAGCTTTGTGCACTGTTGATGTACAGTACATCTATTTTATACTGAAGTTATACTGCCATGTAAAACCCGCAAGATGGTTGCGGTAAAGTGGATCAATTCGCACAGGAAAGAAAGTCTGTCGGCTTCCTTTGGGGTAATAGTACAACCACCAATGTGTGATGATTACCCCCAAGTTCCCGTACTTTTTTCTTGGGTGGAACTCCGGAAACAGGCCGGTAATATTACGGAGCGTTATGACATTGTATGAAATACCAACCGACCCACGGGGGTACTACGGAAGTAACACACTAGAGAAAAAATAAAATTGAATATTATTAAATAAAAACTAAATTTTATTTTATTTTTTTTTTCTATTTTCTGAAAATCCAGGTCCGGACCATGGAGAAGACGAAGGCGCGACTAGGATCCATCCTTTTACTTACCGCCATCCCATCCCCATACCTTAGAACCTGTCCCTCGGTACCCTCGTTGGGCTTTTACTGTGGGTGGCCACCCTCGATATCCTTTTTCTTTTGCGCTCCTCCCCTGGTACCATTACCACTCTCATACGCCTTCCCTTCCCACCATCTCCACCAACCCGTCATTCACTACGATCTATGCTATTCTCTCTTTTCCTCCCTTCTTAGTTCGCTCCACCTACTAAGTCTCTCCTCCCCCATATTCCTCTTTTCAATTTTTTCACTTCTGAATTTTCCTCTTTTTCTCACCCCAATTCTCCCGGCCAGAACGACAGTCATCCCGGACCTTCTATACTTCCTCGGTTCCGGCACATATACATCCCTCGACTAATAACTCATCAAACTTCGACTTTTGCTTCCGACCGTCGTTCGCTGTTGGCCGATCTCTTCCTCCGCACCGTAATTTGTTTAGTGCGGGTATAGAGGATTGAATACCGTTACGCCCTGCTCAACCTTCGACATAACTATCATTGCTAGTTAAACCTCAGGACACACTGTACCGGAGGCCCAAGTTCAACTCGTTACATCCGATAGCTAGGGCGCCATCTTCACTCGGACAATTGCAAGACGCTGCAAAACCAACAGCACCAGTGTGTGTCTTCTGGGTGGATCCTGAAGGACTAGAGAGATTTCCCGCTTCATCACTTTCGCGCCGAACGACCACGATCGGGGGAGACGGCGACCCCGAACTGAATTTCTGCGAGGAGAGAGTTGCTAGGAACATCATTGTAAAGCTCGTGTTGAATCATATCCGAAATGCCTTCACGTTTAACTACTCCTGTCGTCACGGTGGACACAGCGAAGATTCACAAGGTGGATACGGCAAATGCGCAAAGTCTTCATGGGATGTGGATGGGTGAGTAATATCTTTTTGCAGGTTTGTTGTGATTGGGAATTCAAATTGACCATGTCTTTCAGTCTTCTCGAAATGTGCAGATTACATGGAAGAGGGCCGTCGTCTTGAAAACCTAAGTTGGAGACTATGGACACGTGAGACTTTCTGTGTGGAGCCGGCGACATCGAGCGATGCCTCGGTTTTGCCACTCCGCCAGGAGTCTGCAGACATGCCAGAACTTTCTGCCAGTGTTGAATCTGCTGCGTCTGAGCAAGCAGAGAGAATTGAGCACCATATCAAGCGCTCTAAGTGTGATATCAAGCCTGCCGTTGTCCGTGACGATTCTTTGGCAAGTCTCGGCCGTGGAAAAGAAAAGCACATCACATCAATGGGTCTGGAACGCATGGTACTGAACATCAAAGAGAAGAAGAATCTCGAACCTATCCCTTCCGTAATGGCTGCAGTCTCGCCCCCTGTCGTTGATATTACGCCTCGGCCTTCTACTCCAACTCCTACCCCTCCCTCTGAATCAACTGCGAGGCGAACACCCTCGCCATCTCCGTCATTTCCTGTCATTCAACAGCCGAATCACTCTACTGAGTCTTGTTCGACTACTGCACCGGATTGCAACGACAGTGATGCTGCTAATGCTAATGCCTCCGATACCAGCGTGTCTTCCTCAGGAATCCTTCCATCTCGATGCGACTTGATCAAATCTCCCAGCATTATCCGTGGATTTTCTCCTTCCCTGATCTCGTCGTCTTATCGGTCGCAGCCTAGAATGGCGGCTGAACCCAGTCCCGCAAAGGCTTCCGCCCAGCTAAAGCCGACACCCTTTAAGAAGAAGGGTGGAATGTTTACATTGGGTGGTTCTTCAGGTGATGACGACGAGAGCTCCTTTGAGGACCGCATGGCTTTGCGTGGTCCCCATCGTAGTTCCCTCTCCGATGAATTGTCCAAGTCGGGGACTATGCAACCTAGTCCGAAGAAGAAGGTCACTTCGTTCAGGGAACAAGATGGCACGATAAAGCCTGTTAAGGAGCCCTCTGGAAGCAATGATGAAGATGCTGTCGAGAGCGAGGACGAGGTCGATGAGAGTGCTATTGAAGATGAAGATTCTGACTGGGAGGATTCTATTACCGAGAGCGGACGCTCGAGTCTCGACGAGAGAGACATGTTTCAGCGGGTCGATTCAAGGCCCAACCTCGTCTCGCGACGCTCCCTCTTGACAATGATGATGCACCAGCCGACTAAAATGGGAGCCCCTACCCGCTCCAGTCCAGCCTTGCAACGGTCGCGTTTGACATCACCAAACGGCCCGTCCATCCCCGCGTCGCCGCCTGAAGACGATGAGGATAACTTGACGATGCGTGGCCCTGGTGTCCCTCGATCGAAACCGATAGTCATGAAACCTACTCCACAGTCTGTCGCTCACTCGCCGAGGACCACGCGACGGAACATGCTTGCTACTGAACTCACGGAGTCACTCCGACGTCATTTACTTTGGGAACGGCAGCAGAAGAGTGCGACTGCCAATGCCTTCCTCAAGCGACGACACACTGCACATGACATGGCGAACTTGCAGGAATATCCCAATCCTAAGGGCGCACAAAAGGGACAGGGTGTTGGAGTGTCCAACCCTGGCGCAGCCAATCAGAACAAGGACAAGGATATGGCGAAGACAGCTTCTTTTAATCAATATACTGACTTTGGTCCGTGGGAGTACCATGCCAAGGGTTGGTAAACGACTACGCCGATCGCATTCCGGAGCGACACGACCAGTTGTCCTCGATAACACCGAAAACAACCTGTTTTATCTTTCTACCTCTCACCTTTTATCTGTGTCATGACATATCTTTCCTCGGATGGGTAATGTTTATTGACTCTATGATAACCGAACTTTCAACGCGTTTCTTTATCATATATGTAAAGCCGCCGATTGAATATCCTTGTGACACGTACGATCACGACTCTGCATTGCATTTTGGCGCAACTATGGATCATATGGTTGTTATTTTCGACCTAATTTTGTCTTTCGGGTCTTTGAATTTTTTTTTCTCAACTCCTTTTCCCTACCATTTTTTCTCATGGCATTGTGTGGCTATCCGTTATGTTGATATTATACAAGCCATATTGAGGACAGAACCTCAAGCGCAATTAATCATGTACAGATGATCTTCTTTTACCTTCCATGGCGGGCGGAACTGTTGCGGTTCGAATTTGGCATGGGTTCTTACGTGTTTCTCTTTCCAGTACGGGTTGGGCGGAATTCTAAAAGAGGCCTTTTATGGATGTCATTGCTGCGTCTCGTGACTGCATCTTAGCAGAAAACGTCATTGGTATCATTCGATGCATTTGAAGCCCTTGTCTTTTCTCTGTTTTCTTTTTTCTTATTTTTTTTGTTCTGATACCAGATACCATACATATGCTTTTGATTTTGCTCCGCGCCTTTCTACTGGGTCCTATGGAGGGGGTTGACCCAGTCTGCACATGCCATGTACGCTAAATTGTGATTTACGAAAAAAAAGTTGAAGATTACCCAATAGAGTCCAATGACCAAAACTTATCTGAAAATATACCTTCTGGATTGCAAAGTAGTCAAACTTATATACTAGAATAGAGACTTCGAACCTTCTGGCCGGTCCAGGATGAGGTGCACTGACACGTATGCGCACAAGCCATGTATTAATTAAGCGTCCGCCACCAATATTATGAGCAGGGATCGAACTGACCACCTAGGGCTGGGGTGGGGGATGGCTTTCTGAGTGGTTGGAAAACCATCCGCGGCACCGGCGATATCTTCAGAATTCGTACCTCTTGAGATCTAGAATCATCGCACAGATCCCTTCACATGCATTGGGCCATGCCTCTCTCCATATGGCGATTATCGATTATCTCAACGATTCTCCCCCTCTGATAGACGGGGATGTCTGGTCGGAGGGTTTCCTACACCATCTCATCTCGTTTTTTTTATTGATTAACTTTTCCCTGTTTGTTTCCCAGACCCTACATGAACTTTTAATTTTCTAAATTTGTCTCATCTGTCATACAAAGCGAGATGAATTGTCATCGCCTTGAGGTATGACGGGAACGAGGCGGCGGAACCTTTCGGGTTGAATGAGGTAACCTGAGAAAAACTGTAACATCATCTGCCACATCAAGTTGAGGTATTCTTTCTCTCCTGGGAGAGGAAGGGCAAGTTCATTGGAATTAAGATCTACTGGTGATGCTTGACGCTCCTCCTCCTTGAAGGAGGGTTGAAGGAGGGTCAAATGTCGGGTTCTAGTCCGTATTGCAATTGTTGATTCACGTCGCATTGAGTTTCCGGGTGACCACACTATGATATTTTTGATGGGGGACGTTGGGTGGAAGCCTTTTGCATCCATGAGTTTGGTTCTGGCATGACTTGTCATTTGGGTTCGATTTCCATGGTAAACTGCAACCTTGACCTAAATCATGCTTTGATTTTTCGTCTTCTTCCCTCGATTTAGGGCCCGAGGTAAGTGGCAGAGACAATCTGAATATCTTCGCTAATCTTGAACTTAAATGGTCCATGATGTCTTGCTCACTAGGGCTTGGATGAAATCTCTCCAGCATACGGGGTAAAGCACTACAGTCCCCGCAATTTCCCTGTTTATACTTGAGACTAGAATGAGGCGTGTGCCACATATGGAATGATTCAGGATAGATCATCATCTTATCATGGCGAATGCTGCAGATCATATGCTGCCCGGTACATGTGCAGGATTCTTCAACGGAGAGTATATCCATCTCTTGGCGGCTGATCTACAGGGAAAATGCCTGCGATTGGAAGCATAATTCTCCGCACGCTGAATATTGTTTTTCTTTTCAGTTATCTATTATATTTTCTTCAAGTGATGGGCTGAAAATTTTATTCAATGGGCGCCGTTATGGAATAGAGAAAATTAGAATTAAACTACGTACCTGTCGTAGTATCAATCCAATTGTTTGAATAATTTTGGTATCCGGTGCGCAGTGCTCCGTAGGCCGCCAGCGGTATGATGTAACCGATATGTTGCATTGGATTGAACAAGATCAAACTGCAATACTACAATGGGGCTCAATACTGAGCCAACCCACTTGCAATGCAATCTCAAACACAGGAGTCCGCAATACTAAACTAGTAATGTGCAAGAAACCGATAATACATGATTATACATCCCACTAAGGTGCAAAATCCAGACCTTGGACCCATCACCCTACTGCAGAGCCTCCCCACAAGCGAAACACACGCATTCCTGAATTTCCCGATTTTTTCCCAAACAGGCCAAGCAGGGGAAAATTTGACATCCGGTCGTGCCCGAGAAAGCGTGGAGTAAGACGTGCCAGCTGTGGCTGGTACGCATCAACCAGGCCTGGACGGTGGAGTCGATTGGGGGTTGGATTGGGGGAGTCTTTGCCTAGAAGAGTCTACCGCGTGATCAGGTGGACTGGACTGACCTTACAGACTTTGCGGTTCTCATTTCTGCCTGAGTCATCTTCAGCTTGGAGAGATGCGTGGTTGCGGGTCGCGTGTGGGTCGATGGAAAGGTCGGGCAGATGACTGATTCGTTGGGTGGAGTGTTGCTCTTTGAAGTTCACCGGTACTGCTGTTATACCGTGACGGTGTATGGGGGTGACAAGTGTCTGGTACTCCGACCTGTTTTTGGTGAATAGCTGGAGATGGTAGTTTTGACTCAACTCAACTC